CGATTCGACCTGCTCTGGCTCGGCCCGCTCGGCCTCGATCCGCACTGACACCTGCACCCCGGTCACCAACGGCGGCTACGCCGAGTGGACCTGCGTCTCGGGCGAGCTCGCTGCCGACGCCAACGGCGCCACCGCCCCGCACATGTTCGCCAACCTTTAATCGTATTGCCTTGCATGCTACGGTCTTTTCCCACTCGCTGATGCATCCAGTAAACCGTTTCATCCGCGGCTCCGTCCTCCTCCTCCCCCTGCGCCTGCGCCTGCGCCTGCTCCTGATCCTGCCCGCTTGCGCCTGCCCACCACCGCCGCCGCCTTGCGCAGCGCCTCGTTCTCGCGTCGCAGCTCGGTGTTCTCGCGCTCGGCCACATACAGCGCCTGCCGGTGCGCCACCTGCATCTCCGCCAGACGCTTCTCCAGCCCACCTGCCGCGCTGGCGATCTCCTCTCGCGCCGCCGCACGATCTGTCCGCGCCTGCTCCGCCGCCGCCTCGGCTGCCTCGGCTCGCGCCGTCGCCGCGGCCAGACGGCGCTCGAGCTCGCCGGCCGCCGCCTGCGCGCCCTTGGCCGCCTCCACCGCCTGCAGATGCACCACCAGCGGGATGCCCTCCACCTTGTTCGCCGCAGCCTCATTTGCGCGCCGCAGCTCTTCTTGCGCCGCTTTGAGCGCGCTCTCGGCCGCCCGCTGCGCCTCCTCGGCTCGCGCCGCCCGCGCCCGCGCGTTGTCGGCCTCAGCCCTCAGCCGCGCCGCCTCGTCCCGCGCTGCCTCAGCCTGCGCCCCCACCGCCGCCTGCTGCGCCCCAGCCACCCGCCCTCGTACCTGCGCAAGCACCCGCGTCTGCCGTGCTAACTCTTGTGCCTCTGCCATGCCCACCAGCACCTCCTCACCCAAGCCCGCCCAAGAGCCAGGAGCCAAGTGCCTGGCGATCATGATCACGCTCCTGATCACGATCGCCACTCGGCACTCGGCCGCCTTCCCCTCGGGCTACGGCGCCAACGCGGACGCCGGCTACCTAACTAAAGCCCCTCTGCAGGCGGGCCAGAAGGACAAGAGTCATGGCTGGAGTTGACGCGGGGGCGCTCGAGGCTGAGGCGCTGCGTGGAGAAGACAAGGTCAAGTACGAGGTCAATGAGCAGAGCTACGAGAGAGACGGCCTCAGCAAGCTCTTCCCCAACCGGCTCCAGCTACTCTCGGTCCTCGGCGGACAGGAGGGCGTGTTGGAAGAGCTTGATGTCGACGCCGCACAAGGCATCGATGAGGCAGAGTTGGAAGCACGCGGCCTTCGCTGGGGCTTCAACGCGACTCACATCGCCAAGCGATCGTTTGTCCATTTCATGCTCTCGGCCGCCAACGACTTTACCCTCATCATGCTCATCATCACCGCCTTCCTCTCGCTCTCGCTCGGCGTCTCCATCTCCGAGTTTGCTGCTGACACCGGAGGCGCCGGCTATGTAGAGGGCACCTCTATTCTCATTGCCGTCACCATCATCATCATCTTCACCGCCATCAACGAGAACTATAAGGATCACCAGTTTGCCGAGCTCGCTGCCGCTCTCCAGAACGAGGAAGTCACCGTTCTTCGTGCCTCGTCGCTGGACATCCAGCAGGTCCCAGCCAATGACCTGGTTGTCGGCGACATTGTTCACGTCTTTCGCGGCGCCGTCGTCCCTGCCGATGGCCTCCTCCTCGGCGATCCTTGCAAGATGAACGAGCTCGAGGTGACCGGCGAGGCCGACGACGTCCGCAAGTCGTACAGCCACGATCCGTTCATCATGCGCGGCTCGCACGTGGCGGAGGGTAGAGTCGTCATGGTTGTCGTCGCTGTCGGCGACAGCACGTACCTCGCTCGCAAGCGCGCCCGCGACGCCCGCCGCTCCGTCGACGAGCACACCTCGCTCCAGAACAAGCTCGCCAACCTTGGCAAGCAGGTCGGTAAGCTTGGCCTCGCCATCGCGGTTGTTCTCGTCTCGGTTCTCTCGGCCAAGTATCTCATTACTCGCGTGGTCAAGGGTGACTCGATCGACAACGAGGCCATTGAGCGCATGACCGAGTACATCCTCACCGGCCTTACGCTCACCGTTGTATCGGTCCCGGAAGGCCTGCCATTCTCGGTCACTCTCGCCATCGCCTTTTCCATCATCCGCATGGTCGGCGAGCACAACATGGTACGCAACCTATCGTCAGTCGAGACCATGGGCCGGTGCTCAGAGGTGGTCATCGACCTCACGGGTGCCGTCACCGTCAACCACATGATCCTAGACCAAGGCTACATCGCCGGCAAGCAGTTTGCCATTGCCGACTATCAAGACTATGACTTTTCCTCGCTCGCTCGCCCCTGGGGCCAGCTCTCGCTGGAGCCCGACGAGGACGCCATGGCAGACTCGGTCCTCGGCCTCCTCCAGCACTCGCTCTTTCTCAACTCGCGCGCCGCCATCATCGCGCCCGACATTGACATTCTCGCCGAAGACGACGACGACCTGATTGTCGGCGCCGATGGCGTGACGCGCAAGTACTACGGTAACGAGACCGAGATCTCGCTGCTCAAGTTTGGCACCGCGCTCTCGTCCAAGTTTGGCACGTATGAGGAGTTGCGCCACGCTTACCATGGGCATACTGTCGCCACTTTTCCCTTTGACCCGGTCGCCAAGTGGTCCGCCGTTCTCCTCCGCCTCGACGCTCCGCTCTCGTCAGCTTTTCGGACCGGGAGGCCGAGCCTGTTCTCGGACTCGCGCTCGTCCGATTCCTACGGCCACGCGTCGCTCCGCGGCGACGAGCGGTACCGGCTGTACGTTAAGGGCGCGGCCGAGCTCCTGCTTGGATTTTGCACACGCATCGTCGACGAGAACGGCGAGGTCGTCAACATTGTGCCGTTCCAGCACAAGCTCCGCAAGATGATCAAGGCGTGGACCCACGCAGGGCGGCGAGTCCTCACACTCGCGTACAAGGACATCGGGTTTCGCCCGCCGCCCGACGTCGCCGACGCCGACGTCACCGAGATGGTCTGCCTCGGCATTGTCGGCATTTCCGACTCGCTCTTGCCTTCAGTTCGCGGCGAGATCCGCGCTGCCCAGCAGGCCGGCGTCATGGTCCGGCTTGTCACCGGTGAGTCGCTTCCACGCGCCATCACGCTTGCCCGCAAAATCAGCATTTACAACCCCGAGTACCACCTCGCCATGGACTCGTTCGAGTACAACAAGATGACCAATGATGAGCTCAAAAGCATGGTACCGACGCTCACCATCCTCGCCAGGGCCACGCCCGACGACAAGCTCCGCATCATCTCGCAGCTGCAGTCAGACTTTGGTGCTGTCGTCGCCGTCACAGGCGGCGACCTCGCCGACCGGCGCTCGCTCATCGCCGCCGATGTGGGCTTTGCCATGGGCGTCTCCGGCTCGGGCGTTGCCCGCGAGGCCGCCGACATTGTGCTACTCTCGGACGACTTTGGGTCTATCGTCAACACCATCCGCTGGGGCCGCAACGTCTTCTCCTCCATCCGCAAGTTCCTTCAGTTCCAGTTTACCTGCAACGTCGTTACCGTCCTCATCACCATCATCGGCTCTGTGACCAACTCGCGCGGCGAGCCACCGATCTCCCCCGTCGGCCTCCTCTGGGTCAATCTCATCATGGACACCTTTGCAGCCATTGCTCTCGCCTCGGACTCGCCGTCGCCGGACCTGTTGCGCAAGACCAAGCCGGTCTCTTCGTCAGAGAACGTTGTCACCCGGGTCATGATGATGCACATTTTTGGCCAGGCCGCGTACCAGCTGCTCATGCTCCTCCTCGTCCTCTTTATCGGGCCGGCCTTCTTCACCGTCGAGCGCTACCGCCGCAAGCACTTTACCCTCGTCTTCAACGCCCATGTCATGATGACCTTGTTCAACTTCTTCAACGTCCGCTCGGTCTTCCAGCAGCAGAACGTGGTCTCGGGCCTCGGCCGGAACTACTACTTTTGGGCCGTTCTTCTCTTTTCCGGCGCTGTGCAGGGCGCCATTGTGACCATCGGCGGGTCGTGGACCAAGACTGAGCCGCTTGGCCCGCTGCAATGGGCATCATGCCTTGTTCTCGGCGCTGGCACGCTCCTGGTGGGCGCCTTTCTCCGCACCATCCCCACCCGCGGCATCCTCCTCGAGTCCAAGGACATCCACGACTCACCCAAGGACCGCGCCGAGTGGCGGATGACGCTTAACCGGCGACCAATGGCCGAGAAAGTCCGCGTTGCCTTTCGGGTGAACGGGTGACGCGGCAGCGGCTCGCGTTTACTCGGCTCCGCTCATGTCGATGATGAGATCGGCGAGGACGAGCGAGTGCAGCGCCGGGCGCGCACCAGAGATGAACACGTCCTCGGTCACGCCCGACAAGAGCACCTCGACGGCACCAGAACGGTAGAGGATGTGATCGAGGACCATGGTCTCGCCGGTGGGCGCAGTAAAGGTGGCCTCGGCACCGACGTGCTCGTGGCTCGGCGGCACGTCGAGCTCGGCCATCGAGTGCAGGGCGATGGAGCCGCCGTCGCCAAACGGCGCAAGCATACCGTCGAGGAGCGGCTCGGCCGGCGGCGGCGTGAGGAAGCCCGAAAGGGCGAGGACAAACGGCGTGTTCCCGACACGGGCGCCGATGGTGCGATGGAGGGCGGCGACGTGCGCGGCGCGCGATTCGGGCGTCTCGCACGCGGGCGTGAGGTCGCATGTGAAGACGTAAAAGGCAGCCTCGGTAAAGACGTCCTGGAAGAGGCCCCACGTGACCCAAACGTAGGGTGCGGTTGGCGAGCGCGAGGGGAGGTTTTCGCTTGCTATCGCCGCGTTGCGGAGGAGAAGCACGTCCTGGTCGATGGGCAGGTCGGCATCGAGCTTTGCGGACGGCTTGGGTGAGAGGAAGTAGTTGCCCGAGTCGGCGAGCTGCAGCCGCCAGCGAAAGTAGAAGATGGGCAGGAACGGGCGCGTGTTTGAGCCCGGGACTGCGGCACGGTCGACGCCTTCGGCCTCAAAGTGCTCCGACGCCCCGTCCATCATGGCGTAGTCGGACATTTTGCCGAGGAGCTCCGAGGCCTTGGCGAGCGAGATGTTCTGCATGGCGAGGACGTCGGGCGAGTGGAATCGGACCGAGGTGGCAAAGAGCGCGCGGCGCTCGGACCACTTGGAGGCGAGAGACGACTTGGCCGTCGGGTCCGGCTGGACGTTGTACGTTCCGAGGCGGACGCAGTTGGGCATCGGCGGCTTGGGAAACGACTTGTCGAGACAGACCATGGATCGCATCGACATCATTCGCTCCTTGCGCAGCTCGCGCTCGGCCTTTTTCGATGACTTGGGCGACGGGGTCGGCGACGATGTCGGCGTCGAGTCTGGCTGTGCCTTGCGCGGCGGCGGCGATGCAGACGCCGGCGACGACGGCTGCGACGACGAGCCACCGGTGGCCTGGCGGGCGAGCGGTGACGGGCGCGACGGCAACGGTGACGGCAGCGACGGGCGTGGAACGGCAACAGCCGGCGAGAGCGAAGCGTTGAGAACGTTGACGGGCCCGGCCTCATCGTCGAGGGCGAGGAAGCCGTTGTTGAGGATCTCCGAGGCCTCAAAGATGTCGGTCATCCACTCGATCTTGGCGTCGAGCGTCTCGGTTTCGACAATGAAGCGGCCCTTGTCGCAGATGATGCAAAAGTGAAAGGTGTGGGTCTCGACGGCCGGGATGTCACAGACCGAGACGCCCGAGAGGTCGAGCATGCCGCGGACCTTGTAGTCTTTCTTGCCGGTCGGCGAGGCGTAGACGAGGGCGTTGGAGAAGAGGAACATGTGGCGGCTCTTACCGGAGCCCCCGGAGCGGCCCTCGGCAATCTTGACTGACCCGTCGCGGATGTAGACGCCGATGTCCTCAGGCAGCTTGCCCTGCGAGATCATGCGGACAACCGACGGCGGCATGGCGAGCTCGGCGAGCGTCGGAGTTGACGACGAGTGCGAGAGACCCTGGCCGACTGAGCCTTCCGAGTCTACGCGGCGTGTGAGGTTCGGCGAGCTCGAGTTGAGCAGCGACTCGCCCTTGCTTTGCGCCGCCGAGTGGGCGTGGATGTCGTTGATCCACTGGATGGCCTCGGCAACCGAGTCAGCGCGCAGGATGTACGTCCGCTTCTGCGCGTGCGTCAGCACAATGTCGCGCGACTTGCCTTTGCCGCGAACCACCACCCGCCCGTCGAGCTGAATCGAGCCGACAGGCACCCGGGCCTTGTCCGACTTGGCGTAGTAGAGGACTCCTGACTTGAGGAGAAAGAACCGCTTGTCCCAGTTGCGCAGCATGCCACCGGAGCTCTTCTTCTTGGCCAGCCAGCCCGAGCGGACAACGTCGATGTCCGACTGAAAGTCGATCTCGTGCAGCAGCGGCGCGTCGCCGCCAGCACCCATCACTGGCGGCGAGGAGTCGCGGCGGCCAATCAGCCGCCGGCGGACGTTGGACGAGAGGCCCGGCGCCGAGACAAGCTCGTCACCGGCGCCGTCGGCCTCCGAAATCGCCTCGGACGACGACGCTCGTGCCATGCCGCTCCCGCTGCCACCACCGGAGCTTCCGCCATCGCTAGCCACTGCAACCATTGACGCTCTGCTGCGGTCAGCCTCATCGAGGCGGAAAAGGACGGCAATATCGGCCAGGAGCGCCTTGCGTGTCGCAGCGGACGACACGCCGAGTACGAGCAGATTGGGCGAGTCGAGCGTAGCCAGTTCTGTTCCTGCGATGTTGTGGATGATGAAGACTCTCTGCGGCCCGGACTGGTGAGTGACAATAGCAACATGCACCATCAGCTCTGGTGCGTAGCCGCCAGCCGCCAGCCGCAGCGCCATCGCCACTGTACCTGTCAAGGAGCAGACAGGGGCGTCCCGACCTCGCTCTTGGGGCCAGGCCCCTCCATTTCCCTTCCACCACCCACCGATTCCTTCCACCACCGATGATGATCAGGGAGGGGGGGGGGGGGGG